CGACGATCGATTGGTAATCCCACCGCCACTGCGGAAGACGGTACTAGACGAATTGCATAAAGGACATATGGGAGTGGAGAAGATGAAATCATTGGCCCGACAGATGTGTTGGTGGCCGGAGTTGGAAGCAGACATTTACGCAACAGCTAAGAACTCTGAGTCATGTTTACATAAATTACGAACAAGGCCGAAAAACTGGACACCATGGCCGGAAAGTTACATGCCATGGCAAAGGGTTCATTTGGATTTCTGTGGTCCATTTCTGAACCGCCCTTGTTCTGATTAATTCATACTCCAAATGGCCAGAGGTATTCTTCTCGTCTACCACATCATTTGTGATACAAGTACTACGGAAATGTTTTAGTCGCGAAGGGATTCCACAAGTGCTTGTGAGGGACAATGGATCTCAGTTCTGTGTGACCGAAATGAAGCTTTGGATAGACAGCATTGGTTGTCAGCATCTTCGAACTGCACCATGTCACCCTTGTTCGAACGGAGCGGCAGAGAATCTAGTCAAAACGGTGAAGAGTGCAATTGCGTCTGCCAATCCTATGACGCTACCTGTATCGGAAACGTTGGTGGATAACTTCCTACTCCGATACCGAAACGCAACACACAACCACCAAGGAGAGCCCGGCAATGCGTTTTAAATGCAGACGCTCGTGATCCTCCCCACAGTGCTTCGAATTCAGTGATGTCGTATACCTCCGTGGTAATGATTTACGACCCGCGTCTGGTATAGTCACACGACAACTGGGTCAAGCCATGATTGAAATTACCGACTTGAATGATACTACTGTGCACAAGCGATACGTGGACCAAATCCACTTCTAACTATCCACGGACCAGTGGCATCAAGAGACAAGCCAGGGGATAATCAGTTGCAAACCCCGTCAGAACATCCTACGGAGCCGCATAAGTCAAATACTCAGATATAACCAATCGAAACGCAAGGACATCACCAGGAATAGGCGGAGCCAACGATCGCAGTTCGCAGGTCTAACCGTCAGGCGAGCTAGACTGACAAGGCACTCTTGAGGGAAGAGAGTTGTGATGATCCAGACTTCCGTGACCGCATTCCAGGCACGACCAGTTACAGTTTCATGTCATCCAATCACCGTTCAGGAAGCTCTGGCAATGCTTCACCGAGCTAATATGATACCCGAGTTAGTATATATGATGCGTCGGCGTTACACCAGGCGTGTACCGTTGAACTCTATGCGTTTTGGAATTATTGTTCATTATTGGATAATCTCTTGAGGATAACTTTGAAATTATGTGTACAAGCATTAAGAAAAGCGGATGTGTTGTTTGCAA